GCTTATGTTTGAGTTATGGGCATTTCAGCACGTTCCACAGACACCATCACATTTTGGTAGTTTGTAAAGTAGGGAAAGCATAAGCTTCAGAGTGTTCTACAGATGGGAGTTTGCAAAGCTGTTGCATCACTCTTGAATTATGTGAACCTGACCACTGTACCTAACCCCTGAGCCTAAGTGTCACATTCTGTACAAATCCCATCTCTAGGGGGTTTGAGGATTGAATGAGATGAGGATACATTTATGAACTAGGATGGCATTTGGCATATGGTTGTACTCAGTATTTCTCAGCATTCATCTACTGAATGCTGTGGATCAGGCACCATGCGAGGTCCTGGAGACTCAGCTATGAATAAGGCATATCCCGACCCTCAAGGAATGCAAAATTTAGGAGGAAATGCAGAGAAGGGAGCCAGCAGTACTAAGATCCTATAATAAGACTGAACTACAGAGAGACTCTACTTGTTTTATCTACCATTTTGCTCCAGTACCTAGGATTGTTCCTGACCCCTGAATGCCCCTTAACCGTGGTTGAATGAATGGTTTATTCTGTGAATACTAGGCTGCATGAGTAAGTAAGGGCCAGGTTAGAGGTTTACCAGGGGGCAGGTAGGAGGGGCACAGAAGAGGGTCATTATTCAATCAGGGAAGATTTTTAAGTAGAAGCTATACTTAAACTGAAGTTTTTGCCTCCCTGTTCCCTTTGTAAATTGGATTAAATTTTTGCTTTACCAAGGGACTTGATATTTCAAGGAACCTTGCTACAGTATCTTTTTGGTAAAATGAAATCTTTTGTAATGCAAATAATCACTCTCTAATTTATATGTGGAGCAAGTTAAGATTTTTATAAGTCAGGGTTTTTTTTTTTCTCTTTTCTGTTTTTTTTTTTTTTTTCAAAAGATCAGCACAATGGTCTATCTTTGCAATAAGTAAAAACATCCTTACAGTAATTGAATGAGAAATTGATTGAATTTAATCTTCATTCTTCCACATTCTATAGAGAATAAAGAAGCATTTTTTAAATGTATAAATGCCCTTACTGAAGTGAGTAAAGAAGGCATATTCATGTAGATTTCATTGGAAGTTAAGATTTTGCTGAGTCATTATAAAGTCAGTTGATCTTCACAAGTCACTTCTCCAGGACTCACTTTCCTCATAGGCGAAATGTGGAATTTGGACTAAAGTATTTCTAAGTTCTAGTACAGCTTTAAAATTCTGAGTAAAAAGGAAAAAAAAAGATTAACGACAAATTTATAGTTAGGGTAGTAAATTACAAATAATATGCTGAGGTAAAAATGAAAATGACTCTTAAAATTTGTTTTGAATTATAGATTATTATGCTTCTGTTAGACTTTTAGAAGGTGCCAGGCAGTCATTTAAAAGAAGAGATAGAGGATATGTTGCTTTGTACAAATACTGTGGTTGATTTATCCTTTCATAAGGACACCTGTCCTATTGCATTAAGGGCCCACCCTACTCCAGTATGACCTTACTTTAACTTAGTAATACCTGCAAGGATTCGACTTCCAAATAAGACACATTCTGAAGTACTGGGGGTTAGGACTACAGCATATGAATTTGGCGGGGTACAATTCAACCCATAATGCCCTCTGTGTGTACTGTTTATTGTCCTTTGTAATAGGTTAACCATGACACAAATACAGCACATGAACCGAGAGAACCCCCTCCTCTACCTATGAAAAGCATCACTAATTGACCATGGCAAATCCCCCCCCCCCATTATAGAAGAAGAGTGAAAACAGTTAATAAAAGTGGGCCATAAAAGAAAACCTATTTGCTAGCTAGCTAGATAGATTTACATAGCCAATAAGAAGGAAAGCAGTTATTAAGAAAATTTTCAGTTCAATAATCTAATATTGAATTGCTTTAATGAATCTGAAAGCTTGTGTGTATACATACAGGCACTAAATAAATTCTAATTCAAATTTGGATCATAATATAAGAATATATTTAGTTACAGTAAATAGCAGGAGGCAAAGTTCTCAAAAAAAAAAGTGAAAAAACAATGAAAAGTCTACTTTTTTATTAATCTCCTGCCCCTGCCACTTTTCTTCTCTGAAGGGTATTTACAATAATATAAGTAACCCCAGAGTATACTATATCCTGAGTATTTAAATTTTATTTCAACATTACTTTTATAAAAAAAAATTTATGTATTTTTTGTATTTATGTAATTTATGTATTGGGGAGATTTTGTCTGTTGTTTCATCTTCATTTAGAAATACATTAAAATGGTTCAACCTAAGGAATAATGAGTGTGTGAGAATATTATGCCACTTTGTCATTCATTTATTCATGCATTCATTCACTTATTTATTGTAAGCTAGCAACATGGACACGATTTTCATGTATGAGTTCTACCTTAGAATCACATGTGTGACTAGGCACATGTGCCTACTGGTCACTTGATATGTGACTAGTCAGAATTGTGCTATGCTGTAAATACAAACAACATACTAGATTTCAAAAATTACACAAAGAAGATAAACTATTTCCCAATATCTTTTGTATTGATTCCATCTTGAAATAATATTTAGTATAGATTAAAATAACTACAATATGTTTAAAAAACTAAACTCAGCCATTTCTTCAAAATTTTTAATGTGGCTACTAGAAAATTTAAAATGTCTGACGTGACTTGCATCATATTTCTGTTGGACAGGGCTACCATAGAGTTAAATAAACAAGTCATTTATTGAGTACTGATGTGCTAGTTTGGACACAGTGCATAAATACCCTGATGCATGGTTTGTGGGGAGCTCTTATCTGTGAGATATCTATGACATATATGAAACCAAATTTTTCTTTCTTTACCTTTATCCAGCAGCATAAGAATATATGATGACATAGAAAGGAACAGTCTGTACTTTAAGTGACTTTAGAAAACTTGATACACTTCGTGCCTTTTCTTCTTATTCTGGAGTATTAGAATGTGTTTGTACTTTTTGTAAATGATACAAACCAAGATACATACATACCTTTAAAGTTTGTTTTTCTAGAAAACTAGTTTTTCTTCAGTAATATTGAAAAACTCATGTCATTAAAAGATAGGCTAATTATACCTTCTCATGGTTACCTTCTCAAATGTCTACAGCTGTAAACAGTGTACTTCGTTAGCCATTCAGATGCCCTTGACTTGTTTCTCCTTGTAGGTTTTATCATAATTTGCCTTAATGGGTCGTTGCTTTTCCCTTGGTCTGCCTTTCCTTTTAAATTATATGTTCAGCCTGCAACTGGTATATTTACTTACATTCTGTCTAGTTGGTCTAGTTGTGTCTAACACACAGAGGCTGCTCTAAAAGTATTTATTAAATTAAAAGAACACCTGCTGAGTTTCAAGAGATTAACTGTACTTCCTTCACCCTCATCCTTCATCAAAATTATTTTGACTCTAGGGTATCACATGTCAGAATTAGCCTAAAGACTAGAGCACACCATTGAGGGTACATGTATCCACCATAAATTGATAGATTCAGCTACATTATTTTTGTTTTCTAATTTAAAAATTATTATAAGATAAACTCACCAAACATTGATCATTTAGTTAATAATTCAACTGCTACAAATAGACTCCTGTGCATTTTAGCGTTTCAAGATTGCCTTTGAACAAATGAATTCAATATTTAAAGTTAGAAAATTTTGTTTTCTCTGTCCTAATCCTCACATGCTCTTTGTTGTTGGTCTCTTGCCATTAATCCTCCCCACATTTCTGTATTCAGGAATTGTCCCCACTGGACAATAGCTTAAATGATTTCCCCAAGATTACACTGTGAGTACAGCTAAGCCAGAACTCACTGCCTTGTCTTTGATCTCATGTTCTTTTCTCCAGTTTAACCTAAGAGCAGTCTAAGTGAGAAGTCGAATTTTGGATTATGAAGTCATATTCCCACCTCCCTGCTGGCTCTTTCTTCTCTGAGCCAATTTCATTACTGGCTCTCCTCTCAGAGGCAGAGACAATTTTACTCTTATAGATGACTTCTATATCCTACTGATCAGGGCAAAACTTGAAAAAAAAAAACTAGTTCTAAAATGATATAGGAAAATTGATAGGAATTTATTTTTGCAGTATGTTCCTTTTTTCTGACATTTTATAATCAGGAACCTGAATCTCTGTTGGGGGTAAAAGGAAGAATGATAACTGTTTCATTCTATTCAGTGTAAAATGCCATTCAGAGGCGTAGCGGGCCTCTTTGTCAAGTTTCCTTGAAGCATATCCTTGTAGAAACAACAGTTTCTACATGATGGCAGTGGGCCTGCAACTGCTTTCCCAAGGAGGTTTTCTGAGACCTTGGTTGCTGGTGACATCTTGAGAAAGTAACCCAAGAGAGCTACTGGAGCACAAAAATTCACGTGGTGCAAATCTTATTTTAATATGAGTAAGATACTTACGTGATTAAAATTCAAAACATACAAAAGAACAGATCGTCTCCCCCCAGCCTTGTCCTCCTGCAACTTGGTTCCCCATTTGGGAGTCAACCACTTCTATCAGTTTGAATAAAAGCAGAGGGTGTGGGAAGAATGTGAATTTGCTTGTATATGCATGAAATATGCACACTGTTTTACCTTTGTAACCTCATGGTTTATTTAGGAAATCATTCCATGTTGGTATATAATGAATTTATTACTCTTTTTATGGCTGCATACTATTTCATTTTATCGTTATGACATAGTTGATTTCACAGCATTCTATTACTGACTTAGATTATTTGCTTTTTTGCTGTTAAAATCAATGTCACAAATAATAGTTTTGAATACATAATTTTAGAAGTATGTGGGAGCATACTTTAGGAGGTCAGATTCCTGGAAGTATAATTGTATGTAAGAATATGCTCATTTGTCACTTTGTTTTGACTGTTTTATAAATTTTTCGGAAAGAAAATGCATATTTGAGATACAAATTTTTTTTTAATATGAGTGAAGAGTAACGAATAAAGTTTGTCTCCCTCTCAACTGCCAAGAGAGGCAGTTGCTAGGCGTACCCCTCCTGTAACCTTCTGGCGACAGGCATGAGTGTTCTGAGTGTTGGATAGGTATATCAACATACATACCTTTTATCAGGGAAACTTTTGTCTTACTCTTCATTTACTCTTATAGTACTAGTTGCTACTCAGGGGCAATTTAGCCCACTATGAAAGACACGAGGACATCTGTAGACATTTGTGGTTGTCGCAAGTGTGTATATGTGTGTGTAGCTTTGCAATTGACATCTAGGAGGTAGCAGCCAGAGACGCTAGATAAATAGCCTATACTACTGAGGATTGTCTACCTCCTGCCCCCCCCCCCATGACTTACCTGATCCCAAGTCAGTGGTGCAAAGACTAGGAAGCTGGTCAATAAAGATCAGAAGGCTTTTCCAAGTTGTTGATGTCTGTAGAGATACCAGGCTTCAGAGCCGCCATTCATGTTAGAAGCATCACTCCTTCTCGTCCCTTTCTTCCTCTTCCTCCTCCTCCACAGTGAACCGTAATTGTTGTGTCTCACCCACTAGAGTGATGGTTCCACTGACGTTCATTATACTTAGCTAGCCTCTTTAGGATGACTGCAAAACCCAGTTCTTTCTAGTATTGTCTCGTATGTTCTCATTTTTTTGGTTCATTTGCTCATTTTGATGGAGTACACCCTCTGGTAGTCGGCTGAGAAAGCGTGTATGAAAGGTACATTTGGAGCAAACTTGAGTTTCTAAAAAATTTTTTTTATTCCATCTTCCATCTGATTGATGTTTTGTGTGGAATTCTGGGGAGAAAATAATTGTACTTTAGAATTTAAGGTTTTTTTCTCCATTGTCATGTAGCTTCTATTTTCATTTTTAAGAAATACTGAGGTACTTTGATCATTGCTTCTATGTAAACTTCTCACTGAATGTTCTGAAATGTCCCACTGATGTATATGACATGGTATGAATCAACTTTTTTTTTTTCCAGTATGTTGGGATTTCAGTGGGCTCTTAATCTGGGAACTAATCCGTCACTTTTGGAAAAATATTTAAAATAACTCCATTGACTTCTTTCCTGTTTTCTTTGTTCCCATCCTAGCACACCTATTTGGATGTTGGAATTAGTGGACTATTTGTTTTCTTAAATATTTACTCTCTTTTTGCTTTGCTATATAGGAGATTGCCTCAGATTTTTACTGTTTATTATTTTCTCATTTACATTATAGTTTTAGCTTTTAAAGCCTTTTTGTTCTCTAAATGTCCTGTTTCTGGATGTAATTTCTGTTCTGATGATTAATTATAAGAATATGCTTTTTTTTTAACTTCTCTTTGCTTAGCCTGTTACTTCCAAGTTGCCATTTTGTTTGTTTCATCTGGTGTCTGTCTTCCGTATCATCAGCTGTCCTGTAATCTTTGAGTGTCACTTTGTGGTTAAGTGGGTTGACATTCTGAGTATATTAATTGGGCTTGTTGATTTTGAACTTCATCATTGAGTAGTCTCAGGTGAACCCTGTAGGGAACCCCAACATCTGTTACCTTTAAATTTCTCCTCTTGGACCGGTCAGTTTCTTCAAAGAAGGAACTTTCAGCCTCTTATCTTGGAGGGCTGCAGGTGGTCTGGAAGCCCAGTGGGGAAAAGGGTGGAGTTCTCAGTGTGTGTCTGATCACTTAATCTCCCTGTGTTGGATCCTCACCTGCTCCTGGTTATCCCCTAGTTTATCTATCTGCAAAGAATAAAGTCCCAAGACCTCCTACTCTTACCTCACAGAGATCGTCCAGCAGCTGGACTGCCGTCTAGTTGCTCCTCAGCAGCTTTCATACGGTCCTCCTTATTTTAGCTCCCTGCATCCCTGCAGCACCACTCACTCTCTCAGTTCCGCAGGTTACTGGTGTTCCAGGTCCGGAAACCTTTGTGGCTTCTGTGGTACACTGGGCTCTGTCTCAGCTTTCCATCCTATTGACTTCTGGTCCTTTGGCTCAGTGCTGCTCAGTAGTTGCTGCCAATCTATCTTCTTACCACTGAAAAATTTTGTGGCTATCTCTTCTCCTAATTTCCCTCTTCTTATGAGTTCATGACTTTTAAAAAGTAACCTTTACCGTAGTTTTAGCGCGGTATCAGGAGAGCATTTGGTGTAAGTCCAGACTGCCATCTTTTAATGGGAACCTCTTTGTTGCATGAATCTTAGAGAGTCCATTATGGAAGGGTGTTGGTAGAGTTGGCCTTCTCTCCTCTGCTTGTTTGCTGCTGCTGCATCCTAATTTGCATTTCCACTCTGGCTCCCGGAGCCTTGGTGGTAAGCTGCTGGAGCTATTTCTAAAACAACACCAGGTCTCCAATTCACTGCATTGACAGCTGTGCTGATGGATGTGGCACTATTTCTGGTATAAGATTAGTTGGCCTTTCACAAGTTTGCTGTTGCTTTATGTGCCTGACTATACTTTTCCTTAACTCACCTTTGATCCTAAAGAACGTGTGCATAATCTTTTTGAAAATGTTCACTCTGCCAATAACCTAGATTAATGTCTGTGAGCATTTAATGGTGGGAAGGTATGAATTGAAGTTTGTGGTTTATAGGCCACCTTTACCTTTACACAGAGACATGTGCTCACTGACTCCTTTTACCACTGAGAGGACACTGTGTTTGTGATACTACCTTCATTTGCTGCTCTGGAAGGCTTTTACAAGTCTAAAGCCATTCATCTTTTCAAGATCCTAAAGGTGTTGGTCCCATAAAGAGATAATAAATGCTGGGGAAAAAAGTACCTAAAATACAATGACATTAGTTATTTCTGTTCCTTTCAGAAAAAATGAATTTCAGGGCTCTGGATTTTTACTCTATATCCAAACAAACCAAGGTGACAATTTGTTACATGCAAGATGTAGACAATTTTTTTTTAATGATCAAACTGATTTGGATATTGTCATTTTGAGAGAAATGCTAAGATCTGCCTGTAAAGTGACCTTTTAAGGCCTCTACCCAGGATTTTCTATACAGAGTTTTGCATTTTAGTTTAGTATAGTCAGATGGGTTATATACAGTTGATTTGTATTCCTGATCAAGATTGCTGTGTTCCAATAAAACTATTACTGGACACTGCAATTTGAATTTCACATAATTTTTACATGCTGTAAAATAAAATATTCTTTTTCTTATTTTTTAAAAAGCTGTTTAAGAACGTGAAAGTTAATTTTGCTCATGGATATGTGAGCCACGTTTGGCCCGCAGGGAATTGTTTGCTGACCCTAGTTTAAAACTCTTTTTGCTTCAGAGTAAGTGCCGTTACTCTGTTGCCAAATTTCAGCCCGGGCGTTATAATCTGCATGTCTGTTGGTATAAAAACACTGTTTGGAATTGGGGTTAGTCATGCTCAAGTTTTTGACTTGATGAAAGAATTTGTCGAAGCCAGTTCAAACCAATTCTGTGTACCCCTTCTGACAACATTTTTCTCTCCTTCCCATCTACTCTTCTTCTATTTTACATTTCTCCTGTGTACTTGCAAATAATTTCAAGGTTTTTGAAATAAGGATTATATATTACACCCTGTGCTAGTTGCTTTACGAGATAGAAATATAAACCAGAGTCATAGCTCTTTGGTAGGTAAAACACAATCATGGAAGAGATTTTTTTTTCTTTTGCCTAAAATCAACAAGCTAATTTGAAGTATAGGGAGGAGCAAAGGATGTGATCTCCCAGGGTGTGTGTCAGCAGGTGTGTAGAGATTATCCCCCTGACCTAAGGCTGTAGATGATAAATACATGCCTTTTCTTCTGCTTGTATTTATTTCTGTTTTGGGGATGCCAGCAACATCCAAATGGTGAGAAACAGGGCTCAGGTTTAAATTTTTTAATACTACCATATTTTCACTACTGTAAAGAGACTTCTGTTCCTTCAGATACACTCTGGTAATCTATTCATTAATTGAAACTTCTTTAAAAAACTTCTTTGGAAAGGTGTATTTCTTTGGCAAAGATAGATCTCTACTTAGTAAAGACTTATTGAATGAACAAAGAGCAAGGGGAAGGCCCAGGTGATGCAAGGTGATGCAGTGTCTGCGCTGAAAATAATAAAACATAGGAACATTAAAAGTGAAGGAAACTAGTCAAAGGCTGTAGAATCAAAGAACAATACAATAGTAGATTTCATGATAGTTACAGTAAGTAATAAAGTCTCAAGTGAATACTCCTTTATTTAGTAGAGGGAATTGGCATTTGTGCAATACTCTTTAGTTAAATTTCAATTTATTGGATTTTTGCATCACTGCAGATCTATTGAATTTGTCACAGTGGCCTTGTTTCTTACCTTGATATGTTTAATACCTGCTGGATCAGAATGCCAATCAATTTAGGTTAATTTCATTAAGTTTGCTAAAGCTTTTTAAATTAAAGTTGCTTCTGACATTACCAGTAACAAAATGTAGGTAATATACCCTCATATATTATTGTTCTAGAAAAGTGATTGGTAATATATATTCTCTCTAACATTTTCTTACTTGGATTTTTAAATTCTCTTAATTATTTACTAGATGATTAATCATTTAACATTTTAATTTTTAATTATCTGCATGATCATTGCTTGGTATTCTATGCCAAACTTTAAACATAGCATAGGTTTAAGTTCTCACTAGATTTCAATTAAATTCCTTCCATCTTTTCTGGGAAAGAAATGGATTGTGTTTAATGAATTGTATTGTACTTTCCATTGACAAATATAAACCGGGGAGTGATTCATGGCAAGTAGCCTTTTAATTCTCTAGCACATTCTCGTTTTCGGAGAAGTCACATTGCACTTGGCATTTCTATGAAGTATAATCTTGGTTAAGATTTTTTGAGTAATATATTTTGCAATGAGCTCTGTAATATGCAATTATGGGACCCAGCTTGCATTATTAACTGATTTTATTAACTATCATTAATGCATTATTTATAAATATTGCTTGGAGAACTGTAGTTACATTTACTAAAGATAGAATCAAGAAGAAACCAGTAAACTACTAGTGTCTAGAACTCTTTAAGAAAAGAAGAACAGATTGCACCATTTTTAAAACCACCAGTAAATTCTGAAAGGGGAAAAAGAACCCAAACCATAAAAACAATCAGTTACTCAACTACTTTCTATTCCTTCATGGCTGTAGGCATCACTAGTTTTCTGTGGGGAAATTGAGCAAGCGAAAGTTTGTTCTAGCATATGCTATTCTAGATTTAAAGAGATTTTGGTTATATAGAGTTCAAGCTATCTCTGACACATTTTGCAGGTTACTTACAAATTCCTGCCTGAACATAGGAATCTTCTTTATCAGAGAGCCTAACATCAGATTTTAATCATATCTTAGACCCACAGGGTTTTAGGTTTCCAACAGGCCACCTGTCTCAGACATTTAAAAATTCACAGGACAGATGGGAAGGTGAAAGAACTTGTCCTTGGATAAAGAAACTCTTACATTGCAGGGACGTTCTCAGGCAGGGCTAGCCAGTATATCACACACACACCCTGTGTTTGTGTAGTGTTAAGGTATCGTAATCACACATTTCCCTTTGGAAGTATAAATACAGAATTCATTTATCTCCTTCTCTTTTGGCGAGTTAAGAGAGAAAAAAAATCATAGCTTGTAAAACCTGTTGTTCAGGTGACCCATGAATCAGAGAAGAAGACTATAATTTATATTAACTTTCCTGAATCTACTGTTTGTGGAATGTGTACCTTGTATAAGACTATGCACCATCATATTTAAGAAATTGAGACGTGGAGCTGGCTTGCCTGCATTTAAATATCTTCCCAACCACTTACAAATGACCAAGGCAAGTTATCTGGCGTCCCTGTGCTTCAGTTGCCTCTGCAAGACGGGGGGATAGTATAGTTCTTCACAGAGTTTGTGAGACGACTACATGAGGATGATACATAAAATGCCTTGGATAGTGCTTGACACTGAGATGCAGTGTTAAGTAAACATTAGCTATTAACAATAATACTAATTACATGTGAAAAATGGAAGAGGGACTTAAAGCTTACAGTTGGACATTTTTTGAAAATTAATCCTGTAAAAATTTCACATTCGTCTCTTTGGGAGAGAATCTGTTACTTGACACAGTTGAAGCACAGTGTTCAGAATCACTGAGCAGTTGAAGCATCAGTAGATTCTGCTGTGAACTGTGGTTAGTGGTTAGTCTTTATGAATTCCTTACACAAGCATTACCTAGGAACATGTTAGAAAATTGAATTCTCGGGCCCAGCCTGAGAACTACTCCATCAGAAACTCTGGGGTAGGACCAAGAAATCTGTGACTTAACAAGTCCTCGGGATGATGCTGACACACACAGAAGTCTGGGGACCACTGGCTTAGATTAGTGTTTGTGGAGGACCCACTGTACTTGTGCTGGGTCACAGAGAACCTGAAGGCCATAGACCAGGTCTCTGCTCTAGTGGGCATCCCTGTGGAAGAGGCGGGAGCAGGTAAGAAATATGTAAAGAAACATAAAAAATAAAGAATCTCAGATGATAGAAGTGTGAACAAACAAAACAAGTGAATGGTGTTGGTGAATGATTGGGAGTATTGAGGGGACCCCCTAGACAGGGAGTCCATGGAAGACCTTGAAGATATGATACCTGAAGTTAAACATGAACTGTGAGAAGAATAAATCATAAGTTGGTAAAAGACTAGCCCTGGAAGACAAAACACCTAGTGCAGAGGCTGTAAGATGGAGATGCCTTAAAGAAGGCTCTGTTCCTAGTCTACTAGGAATTACTGTTGATAAAGTAAAGGGCTATTAGTGGAGTACATTTGATTACTGTGGACAATAAGGAAAGGGGGATCAAGACTAAGTTTTGATAGGTTATTTAAAAAAATATTACTGTAATTTCCCATTTTATTTTGCATATCGACCCACTACCTAAGGCTGTGTCATACATTCTCAATCCATTTATCAACTGAGGCGCCGAAATCACTTTGTGAGCTCTGGAGGCTGTGTTGAGTTGATAAGAACTGGTGGCATGTCTGGTAATCTTGTCGTCATTGGACTAGGTAAACCATTTTCTTGTGCTGTCATGGGTGTCAAGTCAACTTCAGATTTCTCTTGTTCAGAACTTAAATCAGTGTCTTCAGTCTATTTTCTGTCCCCTACATGTATAAATTAATGTATATAGTGTCTAATTAGAATATTAAATGACTATCAACCCTCTCTTGACTAGTTTGCTATTAACTATAACTTCCACAAGAAAAAACACCTTAAGCATAGGATAAAGACAATACTGACTTAAATTTCTAAGTGCAAGAGGCAAGTTTTTCTAAATTAAAAACTAGTCATTTTAGATTTTTAAAAATGAAGTTATTTTAGTATTGTGTATGCTATAATAGAATTATAAATCATTAAATTTAACTATCAAGACTAATATATATAACTTTGCATCAGTCTTTGCATGATAAAAGTCAAGTGTATGACAGGTGAGGAAGAGCATATTTTTAAATCCAAGAAGACCTGTCTTCAAATCCAAGCTTCTTCACTTATTAGTGATACCAGGATTGAGCTAGTTAGATTTTCTGTGCCTTAATTTTATTGTCTATAAAATGGGAATATAAAATCTCTCTATCTGGGTTTAGTAACCTGGTTTTGAGATAGTAAAAACATTTAAACAAGCAAACAGGTGAAAAAGTAGTAACTATATTATTCCAATTGTGTAAAAACTCTGAATTAATAGTGTAACTGTGAACCAAAGAAAAGGCTGTGGCTCCATCCATTTTTCAAATACAGATTTTGTTATTTTTAAAGGTTATGGCTTTTTTTAAACTTAATTTTTAAAAGTCACAGAACCCTAGGAACTTCTCTTGAAGTCTGCTTCCCAAAATAACTTCCTCCCACAGTTTTTGGCTTCATCTTGGAAGTTCCGTCATGTGCCCTTGGTGGCTAGCAGGTGCCTCTGAGACATTTCTTTTCTAGTTTCTCTAACTGATATGTGTAATTCACTCACCCTCCTGATGAGTCTTTAGCATAGTGCATATTGAAGGAACATGTCTTTGAGCATATTTTGGAGAAATCTGAAGTTGAGTTAAATACACATAATTCAAAAGCAGTGAATCCTGGAAGATGACCGGCATCTCAGCACATATTTATGTGACTTTGGTGACAGTTTAGCAAGTTAGGGGATGTTAAGATTATCTAAATGTACTTTCCAGATCTAAAGACTAAAGTTATCGCCCCAGCTCAAACTTTCATTATTTCCTTCTGGTTTTCCTGGAAGTATTAGAAGGGGAGAATTTTATGGGCATAAGGAGCACAATTTATTGAATGCTTGTTACACAGCAGGCACTATCCTAAATGTTATGTATGTGATTATACGTTAGTCATACGTATGTGATTTTGACCTCTCAAACCTTGTGAGTTATATAATGCCATTTTCACTTTATAGATGAAACTAGCGCGGTCAAAGATACTAAGTAACTTCCCCCAATTTACAGTTAGTAGAAGTTAAAACTCAAGTATGTCTGATTCAGAAGCTCAAGTTCTCTCCCTGTTTCTAATCAGCAAATGCTGTATACTTAAGAAAATAAAAGTTGAGAATGAGGATATTATTACTAACACGTTGATGGTCACTCTGTGGCACATTGGTTTAAATGTTTCAAATGCTGCTTCTGTGGTCTTACAGAAGTATATCTACTCGAGACTGGAAGCAGTGGCTCATGTTGGGCTCCTCCACTGTTTGAGTGGGAGGCATTAGAGAGGGATCAGTCGTTGCGAACCTTTTCGCCAAGAAATATGGGGGAGAATGGGAAAGACAAGTTTCCTGTTTGCTCTGTAGTGCCACTGCCAGGCAGTGAAGGAATAGAAAAGTGAAGTAGTTGTAAGTTGTTCTAGGTACTCTGAAGGAAACCACCAGGGGCTGGGGCAGACACCAATAGGGTTGGGGGATAGGATACTGGAAATAGAAATGACCACTGTGAGGAGATGACATTTAACCTGAGCCCAGAAGGCTGAAGAGCCAGGTGCTTGGGCTGGTTGCTACCCTGTTAGCACCACCCTTCTGCAGAGATGGATGCAGAGCCCCATGCTTCCTCATTACTGGTACCGAATGGGCACCATGCCTGCTCACGGTGGGCCCTTGACAGTTGACTGAGTTTTGCAAAGCCCTGAAAAGAGCATTTTCTTAGGAACCAACTTGCATTTCTGTCAGTCTAGGGCTGTTAGGCACTTGTACTTAAACTCTGCAAAGTAAACTTCATTACAGAAAATTTCAAACATACAATAAAGTAGGCTATAGAGTAATGGATCTCCATGTTCTCGTATCTGGAGTCAACAAATATTAATATTTTTCAAATTTTATCTAGCCTCCACTTCATTTTTTGCCTCTGGTGCTTTCCAGCAAGTTCCAGACATCATTTCTTTACAACTGTAAATACCTTAATAGGCATCTCTCACAGATGAAGGCATTTTTATTTATATAGCCCCAGAAAATTATTATGTTTAGTACTAGCATGGACTACTTAATCTTCCGATCTTTAAAAAGGTTTAATAAAGAAAGCTAAGTATGACTTACTAAAAATTTAGGATGAAATTGGCATCGAGTTAACACATATGCCTGGATCTGTGTCTAGAGTTCTGTTTCCCTTTAGACTCTTCTCAGGCTTGTGACCTGACTATCCAAAGGCTGTAATTTTTTAGTCTTTCCAAAGCACCCAACGAAACATCATCAACTTCTTGTTTAAAGAAAAAAAAGGCCAAGGAAGAGTGTCTACACTGCAGCTGACTTGGAAAGTTACTCGACAAAACCTCTTTATTGGTCTCTGTGGTGGCAGATGGTGTTAAGTCTGTGTATGTGTCAGAAACATTATTTTTCAAAAGTTTGCTGTGGTGATTTCCACTCAGACGTCATTGGATGTTGGCTCTGTCTTTATAAAATGCAAGTGGAGTTGAGTGTTGGGTAGACTTTGGACAAACTTCCTTCACTCGGCAGGCGGTTTCTTGAACTGCTAGCAAGACTGGCTGCTGTACACCCGACACTAGAAAGCCAGAGAAACGTCTCTTTGAAATAATTTCTTTTGACAGAGAAAGAAGTCCCAGTGACACGTCTAAAAGCCAAAAAACCTGACTTACCAACTACTTTCACTTTTAAAAAACCATGCTGTATTAGTGTGGCTTGAAATTCTCTGCACTCCTCATTCATTATTTAATCTTATTTTACTTTGTTCAGACAAGCTATCTGGCCTATTGTGAAGCTTCACACAGCCAATTACCTCAAGGTGTTTAGTTCATTTATTATTTAAAACATAAATCTTGTACAGGTTGTCCATTGACGACCCTCTGAGTTGATGTAGTAAACGCCTTTCATCCTTGTGGCCTCAGTCAATGCTCACGGACCTACCTGCTGAGCCTGGCAGGCCGGGCAAGGTGCTGAAACATGTGAGATACCAGAGGTAATTGCACTTCCCTTTCTGTGTACAGGCGCATGTGAAAAATGTGCACACAGTAGCAACTTCTGGATTGAAATTTAAAGGAAAAGAATCTTCAGTTTTAAACACAGTATTCCATTCTATAGACAATTTATTAGGTGTTTTAGCTGTTGTTACAGGCTGAACATTGAATTTAGACGTTTGTTTAGAGTAGACCTTAGTGACATCATACTTAGGAATATTTATCTGAAAGGATCGTGTTTCGTATTTGTGGTGTTTGTCCTGGAACCCGTTTTCCTTTCCTGGCTTCCTTTCAGTCTTGTGTTGTGAGGCCAAAACCAGCCGATATAAATTACTTACAAAAAGGCTAGTTTAAGTAATGTGCTGGTTCTACCGATGGGCTTATATGCCATTAAGAATCTCTGTCCTACACCGAATGTGCCAGGTATTTAACTGGGGACTGGTACTAATTTCAGAGCTAATGCTGAGCTGTTCCACATCAATGCTTTCAGCAGGTGGCTTGAACTGACAGTGTAAAGAAAAAAGTGAAAGAAAATTACCATTGTACTTTAGAATTTCTCTGATTGAATTGACTGATTATACTGTCAAAGGAGCATTGGGAAGCTGGCAGATTTATGGGGAGTGAAGAAACGACAGAATTCCTTTAGAAAACGTTTGTCTGTTGGTTTTTGCACAGCCAAATATTTCAAAATGATAATAAGGTTTGATGTGAGGTTTGAATTCAGTACTGGGGAAAGTCCATGTGGTCTGATTTGTTTCTTAAAGCTTGAATATTGTATAAGGAGAGTTAATAGTTTCCTATTACCATTTTCTCTTACAAGACCAAATAGTAAGACACTCTGTTCAAATTTCATCAGTAAATGTTAAACTACTTTTTAAATTTGCAATGTAGTTTTATAAAGATTTCATTTTTGTTAAGAAGTTTTGTTATTAGAAAATGGAATAGAAAAACCTACCAGTGACTCAAGATGAAAATTACTTGTTTTATGTATTCCTTTCTGAATTATGTCCTTAGGCCTGTTTCAAAAGAAGTTCTTATCAGTAACAAATACTTGTGGTGGTCTCTTAAATTCATGTTTGTTTATTATAAAATGTTATTTAAATATTTAAAAATATTCTTTAAATGAATAATTAAAAACATTTACAGAGATACAGTACCCTGTTCATTATTAGTAGAATAATAGTAGTCAATAAATAGCTAGTATTTATTGAATTCTTGCCATGTAACAGATACTTTACTTAGTGCCTTATGGTGTCTCACTTAATCTTCATGGTAACTACATAAGATGATTTCTCTTTGTATCCCCAATTTACTGATGGGCAAATCAAGACCCAGAGAGGTTGAGTAACTTGCCAGATACCCAGAGCTTGTAAAAGGCAGAAATGGGATGCTGACTCTCAGAACCCAGTGCTCATCCTCTGTAACACAGGGGAGAGAAACTGGTTATACTTGACTATTTTTTTTTGCTGTCAGTGCACTGACTGCCTTCTCTACTGGCGACGGGAACTTAATACAATAATTTCCCTTTTCATGGTTACCCCATTATGAATTTAATAGAACTTTTGATATGCAGTCATGACAATTCTTAAGGGAATGGCTTAGAATGTAAGGAAAATGTATTGAAGTGCTCTGTAAAAGGTGTAAGAGAGACAAATTTAGCAAGAGTGTAAGTTAGGTTTGGGGCAGGGAAAAAAGTCAATCAGGATAAATGGGTCAGCATTCATCATTTGTTCAACAAATACTTATTGTGCTGGGTGCCAAGCACTGGGCTTGGCCTGTCGGAAAGCCCTGGGTGATTTATTTTTGTTGGGTTGACTCCCTGGTGGGATTATTCACAAACAACCTTTCGATGTAAATAGGAAGCTTTAATTGCAGGAGAGAAGAAGGGTGAAAGTCTTTCTGGGTGGACTGTGGTGCGCGAGTTTTGTTTCGTTGCATAATCTAGCAGGCTGTGGTCGTAGTCTCATTATTCTGACGCAGTGTAACAAACCAGCAGGAAGCTGCATTCCACGGGATTTCTATGGGGACTACAGAGAATTCGTTCCAATACTCACAGAGCAGCCGCTCGTAGCTTGAAGTGGCTCCAGGGCTAACGTGAGGCGCTGTGCAGCTCTACGTGCTACTGAGCTGGAAAAGTGAAAGCATGTGCAGTGTCAATAAAACAGTGTCACTAGGCTTGTTTCTGATCGGGAGCCTTATCAGAGCATCAGCTGACAATCTGTTATTGTTGAATGAGGGGGGAAAAAGCAGGGAATTGGAAACATTATGCCACGCTGAAAATGGGAATACCTGTTTCTTCGCTCAGTTTAAAACTTACTCCCTCTAATGTTTTTGGTATTTCAATTGGAGGTAAATTGGAAAGACAGAGAAAATGTTCTTTGTCCATCCAACCCCCCACTCCCCCAACACAAAATAGCTGGCAAGGGGGTGACACTTGGAGTAACAAACTTTCTCAGCCTCGGCTTATAGAGTATAAAGGAATCTGTATTCTGGGATATGCTTGTTTGATTTCTGCATTCTGTAAGCACCTGGTTTTTCGCCTCTCCCAGTGTGGGGAGCATTGCCTCATTTTTAAGAGTCGTCCAGCTCGTGTAGTCGCGTGATGTATTTGGCGGTTGATGTCCTGGGCACCTGCCCCAGCAGGACTGCAGCGCCTCCCTACCGCCTCCGGTGCTTCTCCCACTGTGGCCTGTCTGCAGGGCCTGCTCCACAGGCTGGGCCTGCAGCCTGTGGATCCCATGAGGCCCCGTGCTGGGTTTCATCCTCTGCTGTCATTCTCTTGAAATTCATAATAATGTGTAATCAAGGGGCCCCGCGTTGTCATTTTGCACTGGGTTCTTTTTACAAATCATCTAGCTGGTCCTAGGTGTTCTATGAGCCTCTTCCCTCTTCGTGCCCCCAGCACCAGAGGTTGCGTCCTTCACGGACCAGCTCGAGTGCTGCCTCCTCCACAAAGCCCTCTGGTTCTTTCGTAGACGTGAATGTCACTTCCCTGTGTGGACCTTGGTCACAGCCTGCCTGACACCCTGCACGGGGTGCACCTCTGTCTCCCTCCACACAAGGTGGGCTCTTAGAGGGAGGCACGTGCCCTCCAGGAATCCTCCTATTCTTCTGCCTCCATATCCTAGCCCGATGGCTTTCAGTGCTCCATAAATGCTTGTTGAATTGAAGTGAATTAAATAATTTGCCCTTTTATCTGAAAGAGTAAAGAAATTTACATTTAATAGAAGGCCCCTTTGATGGACATACTGCCTTCATTTCAGTTCTCTTCTGATGCAGAATTATGGTGCTGGCTTCCATCAAATGGCAAATGTGATGAGATGGTACACATTTGATTCTGCCTCACTTATAAATTTGGGGTGGAGAAAATATAAATGAAATCATTTCACTAATTTTAAGACATTTAAAGTGTATGGAAATTGAGCTTAGGAGGAAAAGGTTAACTGAGGTTAAAGCGAATGCTTTTCATTTCGCTTAGCGTATCTCTAAGTGGAGATTTAAAGGCAATCCTCTTTTCTTACCAAACTTCCCTGTACTGCTCCTGGGTTTCCTTTTAGCATAATTTAAGTAAGATGTTGTAATAGTTTAAATCATTTTAACTTTGTGTGGTTCACAAGTGCTATTTTCGTAATATGGTTCCCTGAACCTCTTAGAGGAATAGAATTTGCAAGGCTTGTTGTCTCCACAGGCAGCAGGACCCTAGGAGTTTCATAACCTGTGTAGATACTGGGGGCTTTATTGATGAGGCACAAACAAGA